TAAATGACTATCCAAAATGATTAAAATTGCTATTTCTAGTTACTCCTTTCATGGGAACACATACATGAGAATTTTACGAAATCGCCCTTGAGTGTTTCAACAAATTTGTTGGCTACATTAGAAGTATTAATAATAAAATTAATCGAATTAATCTAACTACCGGTTGACTTTTGTTAGGGTTGTGGTTTGGATGAGTTTTAACCGACTGACATTTGTGAGGGATGTAAAATCAGCATTTTATATAATGTAAGGTATGGAAAATTATTTTCATGTAACATGAGGGACGTTTTCCGCAATTTTCCAAGCATGCAAATAGCCCACTAATTTCAGTACATACGGCGCTAGGGCTCAGCGAGGGTTCAACGAACACGCACAGTCCACAGCCATGGAGGTCCAAGCCTCACCTCAACCAATTTGGAGCAACCTTCTCAAGCATCAACAGCCTCCGGTGCCGGACCACCTCTCTGCCACCTCCTCCGCCCCTCCTAAGTCGACTCAAGGATTAGCTGTTGGGAGCTGCAAGTCGACTAAGGGAATAGCGGTAGCAGTAGTGGACGCCAACGCTATAATTCAAGGCGGGCAATCGCTGGCCCCCATAGCCGACCGTTTCGTTTCGGTTTCTGAAGTTATCAGCGAAATTCGTGACCCCACCTCTCGTCATTCCCTCAATTTCCTACCTTTCTCGGTTGATACCTTGGAGCCCTCCCCTGATGCCCTCAAAAAAGGTAGTTGATTAAAGACCGAGATTTTTTTTTTTTGGCTTTTGATTGTCAATCGAGCTATTGGATGTGTTTTTCGGCATATGAATGATAATTTTGCTAGCTTTTACTTAGTTTTTTTTAGCTTAGAATGTTCAACGCTGTATGTCTGCTTCTCTACTTCGGCTGTTATAGGTGGTTTTTGATTGCAATTTTGGGGCGAGTAGCTGAAATGAGTGAAACAAGAAATAAAGTAGATTACTTTTTTTCTTAGGGTACTTTTGTTCATGTCGAATTGTTAATTTTCTTTGGTTATTTAGAATGATGGATAGGAAGACAGTAGTATTTTAGGAATAGCAGAACTGGGTTATTGTTAGTCAGAGTGATTTTTGAGTGACCAAGTAGAATCATTGTTGGTTAGAATCTGAATTGGACAAGCTCATTGAAGTGGCGATATATTAACATCGATTTCGGTAGTCGCCAAAGTTTTGGATGCGATTTTGCTGTATATGGTTGTGTTTCAGTATTCCTGATGCAGTATTGGTCTTGTTGGAATAAGAGCTGGAGAGCTGTGCTAATTCTAGACCTGTTTTTTTCCCTGATTTCCTGTTCCAGTAATAACGATAAAGTCTAGGCATTGATGCAAAATACTTTTAATTCATTGATATGCAATAAAGCTTGTTATTGTGGCACCTTGTGCGACAAGTCTTGTAATTATGACTGGATTCATTTATTGGTGATGGTGTTTCTTGTTTCCTGTTGGTATCTCTCACTTTGACAATGTTGTAGTTTTCTGTAGCTGAACCATTGTTCTATTCCAGTGAGTTGAACAAAATCAGGAGGAGAGTAATCCAAAACACATACTTCCCAACCCCTAATACTCTTTCCCTATCTCTATGTTAGGTAATCATGGCTCATGAAATAGTGTTCATCTCATCTACAAAAAGGCTTTTGGTGGATTTTGGCAGTTTACTTTAGTGCCTAATTTTGTCTTAAAGGTCAAACTGTTAAAACAGATGCACAAGTTCATTCCTGTTCTTTAGATGATTCTCACTTCTATCATTGATTTCTCTCTTGTGCAACTTTACAGTTATCCACTTTGCTAGGGCAACTGGTGATCTGCAGACACTTTCAGATGTGGATCTTAAGCTCATTGCTTTAACATATACATTGGAGGCTCAAACCCATGGAACCCAGCATCTCAGAGATAGTCCTCCACCTATTCACACTGTTAGTGTAAAAAAGCTGCCTGAAAAAGACATGCCTGGATGGGGCTCTAATGTTCCTAATCTGGAAGAGTGGGAAGCATTGGAGCATGTGGCAGAGGATGAGTCAAACTACGAGTCAAAAATTCTTCCCCTGAAAGATTTGAGCCTGAATGTAGTTCCCAAAGATCAACATATGGAAGATGGTTTGACCGGCCATTGTGGAGAATGTCATTCTGAAAATCAAGAGGTATCAAATGGCAATCTTAGGCGGCAAAAGAAATACTCAAGTAAGAAAGTTGAGGTTAAGGTTGAAGGGAAGAAGATGGTGGCAGATGGAAATGATGCAACAAAAGGGGAATTTGGTGATGATGTTGGGGATTGGCTGCCTGCTGTGAGTCGAAGTACACGTAGAAGATATCTGAGAAGAAAAGCTAGACGTGAACTGCATGGGGCATTGTCTGATGAAGTTGTTAAAGATGATGCATCTCATAATGTGGAAAGTGGAGAAGTTGATGACACACAACGCCCTGAGCTGCTAGCGGAAGAATGTGCTGAAGAGGTTGCTGATGGGAGTTTAGGTGAGAATGCCACCGGTGAAGTGAATGACAATGATAAGGATGTCTCTGCAATTTTGCACCAAATGCATCTTGATGAAGAATCTTCGGTTGCTCTTCATGCTGATGAGGATTTGCAAGTACCCTCTAGGGGGCTCATTTCCAATGATTTTGAAGCTACTTCTGATAATTCCGAAAGTGCTATCATTGGAGGTGAAGGCGAAGTGACAGGGATCAATGGTGGACTCGATAACTTGAGCCTGAATAGTGAAAGAATTGGTGCATCACTGGATGATAATAGCAGTGAGCAGAGCTGGATGCTTCGGTCTCTGTCTGAATCAAGCGTGGCCTGTGTAACTAGTGACTATGCAATGCAAAATGTAATTCTGCAGATGGGTTTACGCCTCCTAGCACCCGGAGGAATGCAAATACGAGAGCTGCACCGGTATGTAGAATAAATTTTTGCTTCTTTCTGTCACTGTGCCTTTCCTCAATCTTTTTTTTTTTGTTTTAATTATTATTTTTTTCAGTGGTAGTGCAATTTTGCCTGTAATTGCTGCATGTATCAGTGTTCTAAGTTAGGTTTGGATGCTTCTTCTCTGGCCTCATAAATTGAGAGAAATGCATACTGACTTTTGTCTAAATTTGTAACTTTAGGTGGGTGCTTAAGTGCCATGCATGCTACAAGGTCACTACGGATATTGGTAGAGTTTTCTGTCCAAACTGTGGAAATGGAGGCACTTTGCGCAAAGTTGCTGTTACTGTTGGTGAAAATGGTATCATACTTGCAGCACGTCGACCACGTGTATCAGTGCGTGGAACAAAAGTGAGTACCTGGGTTAATTTTTTTCTCTTTGAAGAATTTTTAGGAAGCATACTGTGTATATGTTGGATCATTATAAATATCATTACCTTTTAAGTTGTGAGAAGGAAAATGGGGGAAAAAGGGCTCACTTATCGTGACTTATTAAACATTGGAATTTTTCCCTGGTGTAAATTTTTTTCAGACAAGAAATTGGTTCCTTAGTTATTCTTTTCCCCTCCCTTTGCGCCTTTTCAAGTTCAGGATTTATGGTTTTTAAATCCTTGCTAATGTTAGCTGGCTTATAAGCATTATTAAGTACTGTTGATGAATCTAATTTTGCAGCTACATATTTTTGTTCTTGTTACCTGTTGAATTAGATGGAATGATGTTGTTTTATGCTTCTCTTTGATTTGTTAAAAACAATTATTTGTCCATTGATGTTTGTGAGAGTAACAAGAAAAACAACTAAGGAAGAAAAACTTGAAGCATTAGGCTGATTGGGTAAATAATACAAGAAATTATCTGGATTCAATCAGTATCTATGGCTGAATTTTGAGTGTTTGAATTTGATCTTATGGTTTATAATGAATTTGGCAATAATTGGCAGATATAAGCATCATTATTTTACATTTGATGGTAATTATCTTGTTTTGGTTTGCGGTATGTTGCAGTTTTCCCTGCCTTTACCTCAAGGGGGCAGAGATGCTATCACCAAGAATCCAATTTTACGTGAAGATCAGCTTCCGCAGAAGTTTCTGTATCCAAAAACAAAGAAAAAGAATAAGCAGGTGGTATCAAAATTGTTTTATTTCTCCCCATCTGCAGCAATTATCTTTTGGTTGCCTATCTTAATTTTGTTTCTTAATTTCTTCCTTCTGACTTAGAACACGGGGTACTTTGTTCTGTAGGGGGATGATATCTTTGCTTCTGATGACATATTTATCCACCATACGGATAAGAGAGCTCCTCTTCAGCCTCCTGTGAGGAAAGCACTTGCCGTTTTTAGCGGCAAGAGGAATCCTAATGATAACCATTTTTCTCGTGCCAAGCACTGAACTTCCCTGCACTTTTTGCTGCTGCTTTTAAAATTCACTTAAAAGGGATTTTGTACCGATCTAAGCTGATGAAAATAGGGTTTTAATGAGTTAAAGATGTGATCTACAGGCTTTTTGGGTATTATTTAGTGCCGATGGCCTCTTAAGCTTTGTGGGATTGTGTGTGGAATTCATTTGCATGTCATCCACCAGGAAAATTTTTCCCACGGGCTTAGTATAGTCCTTTGATAGCAAAGTACGAGGTGTACGTATAAGTGGGGCTTGGAATGTGATTTCAATTTTCATCAATTTAAGGTTGCTTCAGTTTTTTTGTTCTAAAGGCGTGTCCATGTACGTAGGTTTGATCCTTGCTAGACCCTCCTTGTTGTAACTAACAAGCAAAAGGACATGTTCATCATGCAGGCCTGGAACTTATAGCACGCATGACATTGCTCAGTGTCAACTGAAAGCCAGCATTTGGTACATAATCTGATAATGATGTACGAGAAAATCTATATGTTCCGCATAAGATGCCTTGGAAAGATCATTCAGTCTTGTTAGTACTTCCAACTAAATGATCCAGTGTTCTGAAGTTCCTTCTGTAAATTATTGCCTGGTAGCATTTCAAGGCAATATAACCAAGTACTGACTTAATTGCGATTGGCTTCATAAAAAGGTTAAAAAGTGTTAAAACAATTATCAAGAAGTGAAGTACCTTCTGCAACATGGGTTCATCTACTATTTGACATCAAAATCTCTAACCGATCAAAATCTCTAACCGACCAACGGTATACAATTAATTGATATTAGTCATATGTGAGACTGTCTGTCCTTATAGCACGCATGTACATGACTTCACTCAAATCTATAAAAGAACTAGCAAGAAGGAAAGAAAAAGGAGGGAAAAATTGAAGGTGAAAGGCAAACTATAAAGTCTATATTCAGATTTACAGTGTCAGCTTCCTATTAGTTATGATGAAAGTGCAAGCTCAGCCCATGCCAAGGAAGATGCCCTCATCTCTGCAGATACGGAGGTGTCAATACCACTTTCCAGCATAGCACACAAGTCTTGCATGGATGTTCTACTGTTAGAACTTGACTGGATGCAGATGTTGACAACATCGCATATCACTTTAAGGTCTTCATATCTGAAATGTTTTAACTCAGGATCCACCACATAAGACATTACTTCTGGCATCTCAAGATACTCTTTGGCCTGCACAGGCAAAAGGAAACATAAAACTCATGGCAAATATTTGTTCTCCATTTACAGATCCATGCATTAGTTGGGAAACCAGGGCCAGAGGGGGAAAATTCAAAGATCGGGTTCTTACCCAATCCACCAAGCATCCCTTGTCCTCACAGTAGGGAGGTCTCCCGCTCACGATTTCCAGAAGAAGGATTCCAAAAGCATAAATGTTTCCATGTATATCCAGATGCCTTGCCTCTAAACCATTTGGAAGGACGCAAATTGCACCTTCATTGCTGATGCTGCCAGAATTCTTTTCCGATCTAGAATGGATTGACTTCCAGCTTTCAAAATCAACCAGCTGCAGCAGTTTTTCAGGAAGATTATTCAGAAAGCAATAATCAATAGCGGCAGAATTTTGATGTGCATGCGAGTATGCTAGACATTTTACAAGGCACCTACTATTCCCAGCTGGGAGGTGCCAGAACTCATTAATCTTCACAAGACCAGGCTAATAACTGTATCCACTGCCTTACTCAAATACCATATTGAACAATCTTACATTTATATGAAATTTATGGCTTTAATTGGGAAGAGAGATTTAGCCATTCATGCTCAATCTTGAAGTCTGTGAAACAGAAAACCCTAAGGCAAGTTCTTTTGGTTAGTAGGTGATGTAAGCCTCAGGATTTACCTTTGGAGAAAAATCATCTGTCAAGTATACTGCACTAGAATTCAATTCTGATATGGTAAATGGTGGATGAAGTTCTGTATGCAGATACTTTAGTCCCTTGGCAGTGCCAATAACAATTCTCATTCGCCGTGTCCAAGATAGTTGGCAACCTTCTCCATCTACAGAGTAAAAAGCAGTGAGATTCAGCAAATGGAACATGTTTGGAAATGATTAAACCTCACAAATTTGAGAAAAGGGAGACAGACAACAATGATTTCCTTACAATGGAGGTGCTCATACAAGGTCCCATTTGATGCATACTCGAAGACCAGCATTCTTGTGAAAGGACTGCTCTCCCGACAGTACCCCAGTAATTTCCCTGTGTGCTCATGATTTAATCTTGCCAAATCTGCCACCTGAATCCATAACATCAAATCCTTATGGCAGAACAAAAATAAACAAATTTCAAATCCTCCAAGCTAAATGTGAAGGGCACAACATGTTTTGACCTCTTTTTGGAAATAAAGCTCTAGAAAGCCCGTCCAATGCTCTTCTTTGACGCAAAGGGATATAACAGCAATTTCAGGTCCACCTTTCATGGTTCCTTTATAGACTTGGCTATCTGAAGAGGATCCAATAATGTTGCTAAAATCTTCACAAGCTACTTCCAGTTCTTGTCTGCTTAACTTTGTTACACCCCTCAGTGATTCAGGATCTGTAAAATCATTTCAATAAAATGATAATGTAAATTGAGCTATGGATAAATGCACCACATCAAATATCACTAAAAGCTGATAAATGGTCTTCAAATCATATCGCAAAAACAGTAGATGTACACCAACCTATGAAAATGGCTGTATAATCCTTTCCACTAGCTGATTTCTTCCATGGGATAATTATGGAGGGTCTGTTTTGCCACTTATGAAGTGCAGAGACAAGAACCACGAGTAAGAGAGCACCAACCATCACGCCAGTTACTATTTCCAGGGCTAAAAGCCAGGCAGGTCTTGAAGTACTGGTCTGATGCTTGGAATTATGTTCAACAGGATGGTGCCTGGTATTCGCTACTGGATGGCTTTTTGGTGTTGGAGCACCACCTGTAACTGAAGTCAAAAAACAAGAAAGTTGGTACTAACAAAGATGCTGAAAACAGGTGACTCGAGGGCCATTTTGATACTGTTTTCTGAAAATTTACCAAGAAAAAAAATTACTACAATAATAGTTTAAGATGATTGAACTCGAAAGCAATTATAAAGCAAACACCAGTCTATATTCACCCAGAGCTCAAAGTAGGCACTTCAAAAAGATATAAACTATTTGGTCTATTAAATTTTGTTTTTAAACTGAAGGTACTTAAGAGAAGATCTCCAAGTCTTGGCTCTAGCAACGCTGCTTTACATGAAAAACACACAGGATATGACATATACCACACTGTACTGCAGAGCGCTGCTTAGGATCTTTATCATCCAGACAATTCCCTTGAAAGCTTGACCTGCAGAAGAATATAAACACATCATGCAGAAAGAATTAGCAAAGAAGACAGGAAAAGAAACACTAAACAGCAAACAGGGGAAACACTACCTTGGAAGATATTCCAAGCACTTTGGTATGCTTCCAATGAAGAAGTTGTATGAAAGATCTACAAATTTTAGTTGAGATGAGCGGCACAAACCTGTTGGCTGCATACTGGAGACATACCTGATAGACAGTAAAAAGGGGCTCTTTAAGAACCAAAAAAAAAAAAAATCCAACATAGATAAATTTAAAATGACAAAAGTCACAAAACACACAATAACTTCAAAGTAAGACTAAAAATGAGCTTTTGGCTGCAATTGGATTGAGGTACTCAATATCATATATCCGGTTTGCAAAAATTTCACTATGGAACTATACAAACAATGCTCATTAAAAATGTAAAAAGAAGTTTTGGTTTCTACTTCAAAAGAATGGCATTTAGAAGTTGACAAATTTTCTTTCTTTTTTGGAGAAAAAAGAAAACTAAGTTACTAAGCAAAAAAGAAGCTGACAAATTATTAAGCAAACAAAGTTACTGTCCTTAAAGAAAACCCTATATTGCAAGAAAAAAAAAGATTGAGTTGAAAAATAAACAAAAATTGACGTTATGTAGGATACATTCACTAAGCAAAAGACACCCCACCCCACCCCCCCCACCAAAAAAAAAAAAGAAACAAAGAACAGGAAAGGATTCATAAATTTTATTCCACTAACATTCCATGTAAATCATCAGCAAAATCTGAGCCATTACTGGCAGGGACAGTTCCCTGGAGCCTATTCCTATCAAGTCGAAGTTCCTCAAGGTATTTCAGACTACCAAGCTCTGGAGGCAACCTCCCTGTCAACCCATTCGATTGAAGATTTCTGCATAAAGCACAAGAAGACTTCAATTGTTAAGCAGAAGTCCAAACACAAATAAGATAACAAAGCTCAGTTTCTAATGCTACACATGTACTGACATTTTCACAATGCTGGATAACTTTCCAATCTCTGGAGGAATTGGTCCTGTAAGCTGGTTTGCACCCAAATCTAGGACCTTGAGATTTTTCAACAAGCCAATCTCTTTTGGTATTGTACCAATCAGTGAATTGCTATGCAGAATTCTAGAAATCACCAGCATCGAATATTAACCTCCATTTACATGTTCTCAGAAAATGAAATGAAAAGTAAATGTGGTAGAATTGAGAAAAACCGTACAGTTCTTGCAAAGAAGACAATAGATACAACTCCGGTGCAAGAAAACCTTTCAGAGATGCTCCAGAAACATTTCTGCAACACCCAAGTCGCAATTTAATTAACAATAAAAACTTTTACACAAATTAAATAGCATATCAATACCACCAAGAAATTGGCACAATTAACTGCCATCCAATTAGGTACACGGAACAATGACACACACGAAAACATGAAAATTGGACTAAAGTAGACAAAATGTTTCCGTCGAACAACTAAATAAGAAGATAGGAATTCTTACAGCTTGATGACGTGATCTCGAGCCACTGAGCAAGAAATGCCAGGCCAGTCACAAGGATCTGAATCTAATGCTTGCCAATTTGACAAAACGAGAAGTGGATCCTCATATATAGCTTCTTTAAAGGTCTTGAGGGCATAAACTGCAGAAAATAGCACCATTTCACTATCCGAAAAATCTACATCAACAGTGGACTATGGCACTTCTAGTTACATAATCGCAACCATAGTCAACTATCGCAATTAAGCCTAATAATATCCTACATTAAGATTGGTAACTTAATTAATACAACATTACAATGAATTTACTCACAAATTCTTGAATTTTAAAGAGAGTACAATACAAGATCTAAGAACACAATAAGAACTGTAATGCCGAGCCACACCTTCATTTAAGGGAAAGGCCAAATTAGTCCCAGCAATGAGTCCTAGACTCAGTAAAAAGACTTGAAGAAATTCAAAATTCCTCATGTTTCTCCAAGTCCGTTAACAGCTTCAAGAAACAGTTGCTGATTCAGACAACCCCAGAACTCCAAGAACCCATAAAAAATAACATTGAGCAAGAAATTTTAAAGAAAATGAAGAAGTTGGTTCTTCAAGAAACAGGAAAACAAGGTGCAATTAGCAAAGAATTCAGCTTACACTGGTAGGATAAGAAAAAAAAGAATACTGAAGAAAAATGGAAAATAAGGCCAAAGAAAGAAAAGGGATTTCTTTGTGGGGCAAAACTAATGGCATAAAGCAGAGTTAAGAGTGAAAGTATGAATCTTTGGTCTGCAACAATTGCCCTGAAAGCAAAGGAAAGCAAGGCAAAGAAGTGGGAAGTGACAGAGTGAAGTTAGAAAAATTGGAAAAGAAAAAAAAAAGATTAAAAAGGAAATCTTGGACTGAAAGAGAGGTTTGGTGTCAGAGAAATACTACAGAGTTCAAAATAAGATTTTGCGCAAGGAATGGATAGAATATGATCATATGCACTGATGCTACAATGTAGAATAGAAATCAATTGGTTACTTGCTCTGTTGGAAAAGTGAGAGAAAGACAGGGAAAAGAGAGATTTTGATGGTGAACTGTTACAGTGGTATGTTTTTGTTTTTTCTGTTTGATCAATTGAATTGGGCGGTTCTTGCTTTTCAGTTTTTTATCTAATTTTTTTCCCCTATACTCAAAAAGGTATACTACTAGTATAACTTCCTTTTCTGATGGAGATGCGTTGTAATATAGGAAAATACTACTGTTTCTTTTTGGTACGGTATACATGACTCTAATCCACTCATATTTTTCACTATTATTTAGTGATTTAAATTCTTGAAATAATTGAAGGATTAATAATTCTTATTCTATATTTTACTGTGAATTTAATCTCATCGATACAGTATCCAAATCATAGAACTCTCTAGTAGTAAAAAGTCCAGTAGTACTTTACAACAGCTGAGTATTATTTATTTATTTTGTTTGGTTAATGCAAAAATATTTTTTTTTTCTTTTTACAAGGGAAAAGTAGATTTGGGAAGGGAAAGGATAAAGAATCAAGTTAGGATATTTGGTTGATGTTCTTACTAATTGAGTTTGGATTTCTTGGTCGATATTTTGATCAATTGAGTTACAAACATTTAATAAAGAATGGGTTTTGATGGATAATCTAAGCTTTGATTAACGTTCAAGCAATAATAAGTGGTGTTATTTCCCTAGCTGGATATTTCATTAGCGCCTGCTAATGATTTATTAAGCGTGGTAAAAGTAGGTATCCCTGTCCAAAATACCCACCAAGAACAGAATGGAAAATAATCAAGTTCCAATTGATCAAAATTTAAGGCCGACCAACACTGGTTTGTTCTTTGTGCGCGAAACTTCATAGCCAATGTAAATTATTAATCTGAATTACTTTTCATAGCTTGCTTGAATGCTCTTTTGACGTATACGCTAATAAACATTCTTCTTAAAGCTCCACCTCGAAAATGATGTTTTGTTAACTTCTCAGTATCTAAAAGACATGCATCAACTACAATATGCCATGGTATTTGTTTTCTTGGCAAAAGGAAATAAATGTAGGTGCCTGGAGGAGGAATAAGTTCCTTTCGGGTTTTTCGATTGTCTTGACGTTCGGACTTCAGATAATTTCAGATTGCATAAGAACGTATTGACAAATTATCACCGACGAGCTTCAGTTAACCCAAAGCACTATTCTTTTGCCCACTAAATACCACTTATTACAGCTTCAACAGGTTTCCATTGCCAGCAAAATGTAGAAGCAAACAAAGGCTTAATAATCTAAATAGACAATTAGTCATGGATCGAACAGTAGAGCCGAATATGCATGTCCCGCACAACAGTGAAGGCGAGTGTGTAGAGTATACGTGACTGGGGCTAGCTACATCCATGCATGATGCTTATTGCCAGAACCCAGAAATCACTATCCATCGCCCGAGCTTCTTCCTACCCCTTTGCAGCCATAATCATAATTTCCACAATTATTACTCTCACCTACCATGCACTAATTTCTAATGGTTCACTAGTTACCACCCCGTGCTACTTTTCTTCCTTATTTCTTCTTCGTGCAGCCACATCAATCGTTTACCCTTTTTTTTTTTTTTTATCAATCGTCATTTTTATCTATAATATCCTATACTATTCTAATATAAGGGAAGACTCAACTGGATCTAAGGGGGCCGGTGAGGACTGGATTCAATCGAGTTTAGGGGAGACATCAGTCGCTTACCTTACCTCAGTCACTTTATCTCCTAATAGTAGTATCTACCACACTTCATTACATTTCTCATCTTGGATGTATATATATTAAGCATCTTATGACCTCTATGTGTTGTTAAAATCAAAATGCATGCTGTGGTTAACTCCTTCGGTTGACTAGAAATTGTGAATTGAAGGAGCTAATCTTATTAAACGGATTCACTCAATGAAAAATTCTCGTACTAATTAGACTGATTGGACCACTTTTAGGCTCAAGCTTCATATCTAATTGCTTAGGCAAGGTTGTTTAATTACATGCTACCATCTGCATGGTGACCACTCCTATGTGCGTGTGCATGCATGCGCAGGGGTTTTGGAAGGTCTGCCGAATCCACAATACATGCCCAAAGGCCTCAAACCATATCACAGAATTTTTGGCAGAATTACCCCAAAAAAAAAAAAAGAAGGAGAGAGCATCAGGTGTCTCCTTTGCTAGTGACATCTTAGACCCCCAAAACCTGCCCTCCTTTCAGTGTGGTAGGGCAGGGAACGCAGCTGACAAAGTTGACTTTCGTGCAATTCGAACTCCTATGATGATCAGCTGATGCACGTAGCTTCAAACCAAGGCCAGCATTAATACAAGAACACCATTATTAAAGACAAGAAAACTACTTAAGGCCTCCGATTGGAAGGGTTATGCCTAATTCTTGATCAAGTTACCGACCCCCCACCCCCATGTTTAATTATTACTATACGATTTAATAAGACTGCAGAGTTGGGGGAGAAAAAGAAAAAAGGCTGCAGAGTTGAGCTAGTGGTGATTGAGCAAAAAATAACTAAATTATCTGGGCTTCCAAGATAAGAAATAACAAAAAAAGAAACTAAAGTTCTGACATCTTCTGAAGGTATTAAAATATCAAAGGGATGGTGAAAGTTGAACTTAAGGGATTTATTTTGAGAACAAAAAGGTATGGGTTTCGGTCAATATTGGGTTTCCTCAAATATCAGTACTCTCACTTTTGGTAAATAACGGATCATTTCCATAAATGTAAGGTAGACAAGGAAGTAAAGGAACAAATTGGTTCCTGGAGAAGTAAGAATTAAGAAAGACTAAAGCCAGCTAGAGAACAAGATGTTTTTGGAAAGAGCAAATATAAATCAAGAAACTATCCCATGGGAATGTTGGACCCCAAATTCTATTCTACGCTTTCTCAAAAATAACCAAAATAAAAAATAAAAAAATTCCACTGTATGGCTTCTCCAGTTGCGCCAAAGTCCATCCAGAGTATGCACCAAGACTCCAAATTCTATTCTACGCTTTCTTTATAAAGAGAAAAAAAAATCATTCAATGGCTAAAAGTAAAAGGTGATATAAATTTTCTTCAATTGACAGGTTGTTTACCACGATCATTAAAGGGGAACCATATGGTCTTCCGGTCTTAGTTGATAATTGGTGATTCCCAACACAGCCCGTCCAGCACACTAGCTAGGAAAACGTCAAATTTGAATGTCCAAAAAGTAGTCAAACCATCGAATAAGGGTAATATTTTTTACAACTCCTACCACTGATTTTCACTTTTTACCTCATCCTCTTCACGAATGAGAGAAGGCAAAGACCAAGAAGCAAAATGACATGCAGACAGACGAGACAGAGAGACTTTTTTTTTTACATAATTTTAGGTTCTTAAATCTTTTACAAATATATTATTGTGCTGTTAGAATGGGGTGATATGTTCGAAATATTTTGGGGGTGACGCTCTATGATTATTTTTTGACATTGATAATAGTCAAAATCCATTTGTATATTCTGGAGTGACGAAAGGACAAGGAGATTGTTTAAACACAAAGGCTCCTCATCGACGGTGCTTCCAAGCAAGACACTTACAAGACTAGACAAATTTTAAAATAACGCTTTTAAATGATTGTCCAAATTTCTAAATGGTTTTGAAAACTATACATGCTCCCATCATGTACTAGTCCTACCCTCTTTGACTTGTCATACATCTCCAATAATGATTTGTCGAGGGCAAAAAGAAATTAGAAGGGGGAAGCACTATAGGGTCCATCTCAATTCTTACTGATTATAAATTCAAATTAAAAAAAATATATGGTCCTAGTCTTGAAAGTTTTCCTCCTTTTTTTTTTCTGGTAGTAAGTTCAAATGTTGGTTTTACACTTTAACCATTATTGTTTTAGACTTCTACTACTGGTAGTTCAACTAGTTAAGTTGGTTAGGACGTTAATCTGATTATATACTAGGTGCCAGTTCAAAATTTTTTTGGCAAATAGACAAATTTCTTTTGAGCCATTCTTAGATGAAAATAAGAAAAGAAGAAGAAGAAGAAGAGTAAGAAGAAAATTCAACAATATATAAGTTAGGAAGAAAACCTAAAGAAACAAAACATCAGGACAAAAATCCAAGTAGTCGTACAAATATTTAGCATGATTATACGGTCGAAGAGACTTTGATCTAACAACTAAAGTTGAATATTCAGAAATTAAATATATTGGGTTGAAATATAATCTCTCTCGTGTTAGAAAAAAATTTTAAAAATTACCATGAATATATGCGTTATACTTTGCTAGTCATATTAGAAAAACTCTCTGATAGTTATCTTTCTTATTGTGACAAGGTTGGGAGCTTATAATAATAATGTTGACGTGAATGATACTCAACAACAAACGCATTATCAAAACATAGGACAAAAATGGTCTTCACTCTCCAGCAGCTAATTTAATTACACTCTCTAAGGTGGTAATTTGCTGCTTTTGTAAAGCCATCTTGATGATGTGGTGGAGGGGTTCCTTTTTGTCTTCCTCCTTCTTGATTACTGATCTGGAACTTTCCCTTGTCGGGCCCTATGTGTTGGGTTTGTTTAATCTACTGCATGAAACACTTGCAATTAATTAGTTGTTTCCTTTCCTTTTCAAACGTCTTATGAGCATAGTTTTTAAAACCAACAAACGTAAGAAACTTTAGTGAGTGATGAGGCCTAGCGTTCATGGTGGGTCGGGACAGGACAAGTCGAAGTTTAATTCAAATCTACCCCGACATGTTTGAATTGAGAGGGGTTATAAGTCGTATGTGGGTTGTCTTGAAAAACTTTCCCCATCTATACAAAAGGAATAAAGAAAAAGTAAATTTGGGGACAGTTTGATAGACAATTAGGTTTTGATAGACAATTAGGTTAATTATGCTTAGATGTGCTTGTTAACTCAATTGAGATCATTCTAAGTTTTCTTGCAGTTTAGCAATTTTTATGTCACTTCTATCCTTTACTCTCCGAAGATTAATGATGTCGGCCTTGTTTGGCAAGCAAGTTTTTGGCTAAATTTATCTGCTACAAGTTTTTTAACCGTTTTAACTACAGTAACTTTAAAAAATTTCTCAAAATTTTTAAACTATGCACTTTAAA